CCTGGACACCCCCAGCCCTGGAGACCCCAGCCCTGGAGACCCCAGCCCTGGAGATCCCAGCCCTGGACACCCCCAGCCCTGGAGACCCCCAGCCCTGGACACCCCAGCCCTGGACACCCCCAGCCCTGGACACCCCCAGCCTATCCAAGGAGAATTCCCAGTTGGGAATGTGGCTTTCATGGCATGTCCATGGGGACACAGCTCCATCCCTGGGATTTCCTCCCTGGGGAATCAAGGCAGTACAGGATGCCCAGGAAAAGGAGCCACTGCTGAGACAAAGCAGTGGGAATGGTTGGAATAAATGCAGACTGGAAGGCAGAGCAGCAGGGTGGGAGAGCAGTGGGACAGGCCTCCCCCAGCCCATGCAGCGATGCTGCTGCTCCACAGCTGTCCCTGAGCTCTCAAACCCTGCCAGGGCCTGGCCCAGCAGCACATCCCGAGGCTGGGCAGGCTCTGAGCTCCCCCCGTGGCTCCTGGGTCTCCCCCGAGCTCAGGGTTTGTGTTTGCTCCTCTGGAGTTGAGCCCCGGATCACAGCAACAATTCCCAGCACACAGAGACAAAGGAGACTTCACAAACTGCACAGGCTTTGTACAAAAACCGCTGTTTTTTGCTTTTATTTCACAAAATTGGGTGGCTGCTGCAGGAATCAAACCGGCCCTATACAGAGATCAGGTGAAAAAGTGGGCACAGGGATTATTTATACAGAAACAAAACAAGTCCAGGATCCAGGTCCTCGGCAGGATCAGCACTAGGACAGTAAAAAATAGTCTCCACCTGGATCCTGGGAATAGCTCACGCTAAAAACAACCTGAGGTTACTCTAAACTGGACTAAGGGCTGCACCAGAAACCCCACGCTCACCCCAAAGACCCCGGAGGGGAAGGAAGCCTTGGGAAGGGGAATGGGAAGGCCCCGGCCGCTCTCTGTGGAGCGTGGGGTCATGCTGGAAGACCTGGCAAATCCTTGATTTTGAAACAGTGGAAGTGGTTCTGGAGGTTCCAGAGTTCTTGGGAGCCTCTCTCCAGCCCAAGCTCAACCCCCACCCGGACAAAAGGCACCCCTGAAATCAAGGAGCAGCATCCAGACCCCGGGCAGGGAAATCCCAAATGCTCCTGGGCCAGGGCGAGGGCAGAGAACCCCGACCACGGGCAGAAAAGGATTTTTTGCAGGATTTTTCCCCCAGTTTTGGCAGCTGGAGGTTCCCCAGCAGCAGCTCTGGAGTGCTCCCAGCTCTGCCTGCTGCAGCTGCTCCCTTCCCCGCCCCTCCAGCCGCAGGGGGGTGACAGGAGCTGGCCCCGGCTGTCCAGAGGTAGTTCTGCCATTCCCATCCCAGCCATCCCAACCCAATCCCAAATTCTAGCACTTCTTCGCTACCTACTTTATTTTTTTTTTTTAAATTTTTTTTTTGTTTGTTTTCTTCATTTTAAAAAGTACAAAGTATATGCTCCAAAAAGAGGGACTAAAAACAAGGGGTTATTCCTCAGTTGGCTACTGCACCAAACTACTCAGGGAAGGTCCAACTACCACCTCCAAAGGCAAAGGGAAGGTGAAAACTGGAGCGAGAAAACTCCTCCCATTGAGTGGTTTTATTCTGATTGATTCACTCCCGGATTCATTGCCACGGATCAATTATTTCCTGTAATAAGTTAGAGGCTGCCAGCCCTGAGGCTCCGTGCTCCAGCACACTCTGCTTCTCCTGCCCTGCTCCAAGCTCTGGTTTGGGCTCTCCCCTCGGTGCTTCGCTCTGCTGGAGACCCCAGAGCACCTGGAGACCCCAGAGCACCTGGAGACCCCAGAACACCTGGAGACCCCAGAACACCTGGGGACCCCAGAACACCCGGGGACCCCAGAACACCTGGAGACCCCAGAGCACCTGGAGACCCCAGAGCACCCGGAGACCCCAGAACACCCGGAGACCCCAGAGCACCTGGAGACCCCAGAGCACCCGGAGACCCCAGAGCACCCGGAGACCCCAGAGCACCTGGAGACCCCAGAACACCTGGAGACCCCAGAACACCTGGAGACCCCAGAGCACCCGGGGACCCCAGAACACCTGGAGACCCCAGAACCGCCCCAAAACCTGGATCATTTCACCCTTCCCGGGAGAAACCCCAGCTCGAAGCACCAAGAGGAAGGAAAGCAGCGTGGAGCTGTGCAAGGCAAGCAGGCCAAGGGGTGAAGGATTTGCCAGCAGCAGCACGGGGAGCTCCCGGCATCCCCGGGGATCCGCGGCTTTCCCGCGGGAACGCCGGGCTGTGCCGGGCTGTGCCGGGCTGTGCCGGGCTGTGCCG